ATTGTATAATTTCATTTTTACTTATTATTGTTTGATTAAAATTATATTTTAAATATTTTTTACCATTAAATGTTAATTCATTTGGTTTATGTTCATATTCACAATGTTCACCTTGATAATCTGTTTCATCACATAAACATTTATAATATGTATCAGTTATTAAACATATGCCAACACCACATAATTGACTAGAACAATGTTGATTTTGTATTAATGAAACACCACCTGAGATTTGTAAATGAACAGGTTGAATAAGACGAGAATTAGTACAATTTTTATAGATTAAATTACGTAATCGACCACGAAAACGTGGTTGCATGTAGACATCAAATGAGGATAAATTTCCATTACTTGGTCGTTCTAATGCTGCTGGAATACCTGAGAAAGAAAAAAGTAATTTGGTATTAAATCAATGGAGAATAAAACACATTTTAGAAATTATATACACACACACACACACAAGAAAAAGAAAGAAATGATTTGTTTTTATTGAATGATTTTATTCATCTCTCGCAACTTTCTTTTGATTAAGATCATCAAATGTTCAATATAGATTAAATATTTGTATTGAATTAGACAATAAAGAATTTCAATTAACTTGAGTTATTTTAAAATTATTCATCTTGTCTAAAACATTTATGACTATACATTAAAAAATATACATGTTTGAAAGATCAATAGATTATTTGATAAAATTTTATCCTTTCCGGAAAGAACGGATGGTTGTCTTTCCGTTAATAATTCTAATCAATTATAACTTCAATAAAAGAGAAGCAAATAAATCTTTTATATACATATATTTCCTACAATTCATATTTAAATGAATTCTTAAAAAAAAAACAATTCGGTATATATTACAATAAGGAAATCTTTTTTTTTTCCATTATAACTTAGCAGAAATTATCTGATAATTATTATTAACAATATGTTTATTTCTTATGACATTCTGTTTTTTTCTACAGAATGACCTTCGACAATCATTTTATTTCTATATATATACACATATATATATATATATATGTAACATTAACTAATATAGATATGTGTCATTGAGAAAATAGAATTTTCTAGTCAAATTTAATTTACCTCCAAAATAAAATGGTGATGCTTGATATTCATTATGTGTTGTACCACCAAAATATAAATCTTCTGAATATGTTATTGTTGAATTTGATGCTAAACCATTATCAATACTAAGTATTGTTGTTTGTCCATCACGTTTAATTAAAATTGTATGCCATTGTTCATCATTTATTTTCATATTAACATTTAAAGCTTGTCGATCATTTCCCAAATTAAATAAAAGACGTAATTTACCTTCAATTAATTTTAAATAAAAAAAATCAAATTTTCCACGATCATCTATATATGCAAGTGTACCATCATGTGCATTTGTTCGTATATCAAAACGAACATAACCATTAAGACATGGACGCCAAGAATCGAATGCAACATATGAATTTGGTCCAGCTGAAAAAACTAATGTATTTGATAATGATGATAATGTTGAATTGAAAAGAAATAAATTTAAATAAATAATAATAAATAATACTAAGAACATTATATTGTATTCACGTTAAATCAAGCTTAAAAATAAATGAAATAATTATATTAGTAATTAATAATAATAATACTTGATTACATGATGATAACATTATTTAGAGTTTTGTTTTAAATAGAATCTGAAAAAAAAAGAGAGAAAAATCTTTTAGAATATATATATATGTGTATTGATATCTATATATAACGTGTAAATAGACCTGAAGGCTTGTTTTGTAATGAAAGTACTGACTTGTTATTCTCATAATTAATTGTCTTACATTACTCTATAGCTAGAAAAAATATTTTGACATACTCAAAGACACCGTCTTTATATGCCGATCGTATAGAATAAGAAAAGGTCAGCCACTTTTCGAGCTTCTTTTTCTTTCTGCTATAAGCTGATTACATATATGTAAGAAAACCTAATTGCCCGGGTGATTATCAATTTGCGCGTATGACCTTGTTAGGAATATTCACCTAAACTTTATTCAATCAAAAAAAAAAAAGAAATCTGACTATTTCCTTGTTTTATTTGTAAGTTTTTCTTCTTCTGTTTTTTTTCTGTTCACACTACACACCTGACTTCTTATTATTATGATTATAATTTCGAACGATTGTACAAGACATTGTTAGGGTGATCGTAATTATATGGATGATCAAACGAGTAGGAGAGAAATGAAGGAGAAAATTTCTCTCGACACTGCTACCAGTAGCAATAGTAGTAGCATAGCATGAATGATTACGTACGATGCAAACGGTTGATTTCTTTTTTTTTCTCTTTTTCTCTTTCTCTCCCCCCTCCTCCCGTAACCATTCTCGCTCTCTCTCCTGTCCGTTCCCTTTTTCTATCGTCAGTATTTTTTGATATGATTTTTCTGTTGTTACTATTACTACTACTGCTACTACTACTACTGCTGCTGCAGCCTATACATTTTTACCACTAATTCTTTGGCATGTGGTGCCACATAACATACAAGTCATCGTTTATATATACCGTATCGTCATATAGACACAAGAACACATATACAAAAGTAAAGACAACCATAGGCTCCACTAATCATCTATTGCACTCAATGATAAATAATTTTCGGGTATAGAAGAAATAGAAGCAAGAGTCAAAAAAAAAGAGACAGCAGACATTGACGATGGATAGGATGGAATTAGAAATGAGAGATGAGAAGTGCGAAAGAACGACGCGTTGAGTTGAAGGTATCAAGATATTAAGATAATTGACAAGAGAAAGAAGAAGCTGATCGAAGACGATGCATTCTATCTATTGAAAAGAAAGTATGATCGATTTGCAAATTGAATCATTGCAAGTGGCAAACGTTACTGATTGACCATCATTTTTCCTTTTCTTTTCTTTTCTGTCTTTCTAAGCATCTAGTCTATGTTGATCTAACTCGAGTATGGTAATGATGATGATGATGATGTTGATGTTCTTTATGTGTGTGTATATACATAAGTGAATGCTGGAGAAAAACAGAGAACATATGAATAATCAAAGTTCAAACAGGATAAAAATAGACCGTCATGGACCGCCTGCTAAGTTTCATCATATCACACGCTTTGTAAATAAACACTAGATACTCACAAACTGGGTGGAATGTTAAAGCTCAATACCAAGCCAATTTTATATGTATGTATATATATATATATATATATATATATATGTAAGCATATGAGACACAAGCTCACATAGTACATATGATATGAGAGTCATTAGTGTATATATGGATAGGAGGTATTAGAAGCACAAATGTTTCTTCACACTTTTTGACTATTCTATACTCTGACACAATGAATGATGATCTACTGAGTCGTGCATTAAGTAAGAGGAAGAGAGAAAAAAAGAAGAAAAGCATGCTATTATAGATTAGTATTGCTCAACAATGTGTCTACAATATGGATATTGATCTTTATAGTGGCAGTTCATTAGTGAAAATACATACACACATACATATATAGTATGACATCATGTCTATTTAAAGCTTCACAGAAAAGATTTCCCTATAGATAGTTCTTTTCTTGTATATGACACGATCATATATCGCAGCATGATACTTCTGTCAAATGCCCGAGTGACAGAAACGTTTTCTATATATTTATATATATATATATATATGCGTGTGTTTCATATACGTAGTAACAACGATGACGACTGAGACGCAAATGGATCCGACAGATTGTTTTCAACGTTAAGGGAATGAAAACAAACAGAAATATGTTACGTAGCTCTACAAAGCACTTATCGAATCATCAAGATAGCTATCTACATTGGCCCTGACAGAAGCTGTTCTGTAGTGTGTACTACTAGTAATACTAGTAGTTATCTTAAATGATATCCTATAGGTGTATTATTATTTATTTTTTCTTATGAATAAATAATAAGATGAAATAAGACAAAGAAGAACATTTTCATGTTCTATTTCTACTGAAATTGATTATAATAAACAGAATGACAATGATCACTCAAGGCAAACAAAAAGAAAAAAAAGAGAAAACGAGAATCCTTGACAACAGTACTATACCAAAAGGCTAAGAAAAGAAGAAGAAGAAGACGCTTGCAACCAAGTGCATCAGTTGATGACATAAAGAATAAACAAATAGTATGTGATTTAGTTTATTGAAAATGATGCATAACGAATATAATTACATGTTTTATTCACTATGAAATATAAAGAAAAGAATAATCAATATTATACCTATATAATAATTTTTATTTTATCATTTATATACATTTTTTTCAAAGTAAATATGTTGAATATCCATAGAAAATTTAGTCTTGTGTAATAATATCTAAATAATATATATATAGAAACGTATGGATAAGATAATTTTTTTCTTTATTAGTTGAAAATAATTATTTATTCATAACAAGTTAATTAAAATAATATAAAAAGTGGTTTTTTTTTTATTCAAATTCTAAAAGATTAAGTCCACTCTATTTGATGAAAGATTGGATCAATCCATTACAATAATTGATAGAATTTACTCAATCTTTTAGCTAAGATTCTTATCTTTCAATAGTGAAAAGAAAAAAAATATTCATTATATAGTTATTTTTTTCTTGATATAATCTACTTTTAGGCTATGATGATTAACTAATCCTTCTATGATATTCATAGTCATTTTTCAAGATTAAAGTTCAATACTATAAAATTGTTTATTTGATCAAATAGTAACTATCAATACTTCATTCTCAATAGATTTTCTAAAAATATTTTTCGACACACATATCAATAACTTCAAAAATATTATCAGTATGAGAATATTATCATCTGTTTAAATCAAATTGAATTGTATAAGATAGCTGGTAGTGATTTCTATTAGATTGCTTTTCAAAAAAAGTAAGCTAAAAAAAACTAACAACAATGCACTCCATTGGGATCATTTCTACTATTTTAATTGTTATTTTTACAACAACAAATGCCCTTGAATGTAGACCAGTTCTATGCATGCTTGCATGTCCATATGGTTTTAATGTTGATGCACAAGGTTGTCCATATTGTTCATGTCGTACAACACCTAGAGTTTGTCTTGAATCAATAGTTGGTTATAATTGTGGCACTGTCGATCATCGTGATTGTCCAAGTTCACATGAATGTCACTTGAGTTTTAGTAATCTTTATGGTCAATGTTGTTTGAAAACTCCTAGTTCAACAACAGTTCGACCACCTACAAGTAAAAGTACTGTTCCTATGACAACAGTTGCAACTGGTACCTCAACTCGTCGCCCAATGGGTCGTTTGTTAGCAGATATAACACAACCAGCAAGTAGTTCACCAGTATCAACTACGCCATCGCCTACAACTACTGGTTCTGCCACTGGTACACCTACAAGCACACAACGTTGGTTTTTATTTTGATCATTTTCAAAATAAATTGATGTTGATGCTTGATAGATAATAAAAATCTTTCAAAAATATACTATAACAATTAAAGATACATTCAATAAAATCTATTGCTTTCATAGAACTCTTACTAATCTTTATTATTATAGAATTTATTATCGAAAAAAAAAAACTAGTATATTTTGTAAGAACAAAATCGAAGTAAATATCAAATTTCAATTTTTATCAAAATATTTATTGACATATAAAATATCAATGATGATGAAAGGCAGGTGACTTTAAAACGCAATTATTTTATGTACGAAAATAATTGACTTCAAAAAAATGACGGATATATATATATATATATATTTTATTTTTGTAAGATAAATTGAAAGTCGACAATCAATGAATGCAAGAAAAAAAGATATAGTCAACTTGTCAATTAATTTTATAAGAAAATATAAAAATTTACAAATAAAAAAATGTTTATAAATAAATATCACAAAATAAAAATCTTGTTTGAATAAGTGAAAATTCTCTTCAATAATTAATATTTTATGTTGTGCTAAGTTTTTTACGTTCGTCTTCAAAAAATTTGAATATACATTGAAAAGCTGTATATGATGTCCATTCATGTAATAAATGACCTATTTTATAATAGAATAAGATTTTATCTTTTTAATATTTTAAAAATATTTTTATAACTTATATTAACCTGCTGATCGTACTGTACCATAATCTCCGACGATTAAAGTTGTATTTACCGTATGATGATCAGCTATCCAATTAATTGTTTTCTAAAAAAAAAAACAAAGAAAGATTCTTGAATTGAATATTCTTTTAAATTAAAACCTTTTTGAGAATTGCCGAAACATTTTTATTAAAATGTTTTGTATAGGTTCTCATAGGTGAATCTGTTAATGCTATAGCAAAAACACGTTTATCAAAATCAGACATATATTTTGAAGCCTGTAAAAAAGATTATCAATAAGATATAAATGATAAATATATTTCAAACCAATTCAAGAACGACAGCACCTCCATAGGAATGTGCCATAATACATATATGACGAGCACGACATCGTCGAACAAACTTTTCCCATATATAACAAGCATGTTCTTCAGCAGATCCACTACCCTAAAATAAATATAGTAAAATAATTTTTTTTTAAAAAGCGCGAAATAATTTTACTAAAAGAATTTTTATATTCTATGTTTTTATTAACAGATATTAATGTAATTTTATTATTTCTTATTTATATGACACATACAAATATATTAACAAATCAAAAATTAATTTCTATTATGAATAATAGTCGAACAAAATTTAATAAATATTTTTATTTATTTAATAGACAATCTATAATAGATCCTGTTAATTCAACATTCAAAAAATATCTTAGTTTAAATAATTATCAAACTAGATTGTCATTGTCTACAAAATTGTCAAGAAAACGACGACAATCCAATTTTGAATTCAAAAGTGAATCTCTCAAATATTTTACCTGTGCTGTTGTAAGTAGATTTATTCTAGTTGAACATATAAAACTATCGATTGACACATGTAATAGCTCACAGACTGAAATATAGAAGTATCCCAAATGGGGGAAGAGGATGACTTTCCGAATCTTGCAAAAGTTTCATTTTTTCTAAGGAAAATTTTCAGTGTATTTTATTGGTTTGTTTTTGCTTACAGATTTCTAGAAAATTGCTCAAATTCTCCTCGAAAATCCGGTTAACTTTAACGAAAATCTTCTAATTGACCTGCTGAGTCATCGACTCTCCCAATCCTGACAGACATGGGACACTCTAGAAGAAATGAGAAATCTTAAACTAATAAAAACAACATTTCAAATAAGATATAAAATAGAAAATAACTTCAGAAACATTGGCATATAGAAAATAGGATAGTATCAAATAGGATTCATTCAGACCTATTGATAATATACTGTTAAACAAAGAAGATATGTCTTGTGAAATACAATCTAAAAGAATTGTTGAAGTATACAGGGTAAAAATTTGCATCGTCCCTTTCCACAGACCTTACCGGGGAAGCATCACTGACTGTGACAAATAGAGCCCGTCGCGTCCGATATTTTCCGATCAGGATCCGGGAGTCCAGCTCGATGGGCTCTAGTGACAAACATTGACATTACAATTACAGATCGTATATGAATATCTTTTCATTATAATATCTGAACTACTTCCTTATTGCATATCTGAAAGATTAAGTAAAAATATGGTAAAGAAAAATGTCTCAAAATAGATAGTATAATAGCAAGAGTAGCTACATTGTGTTTCACATTTTAATCCCATAGGAGTTATGCTAATCTCTTTTTTTTATATCATAATTTATTCAGAATCGCAATCCGAATGAAAATGAAATGACATCGGCATTTATACCATGTATATTAATTCTAACAATTGTACTTATTCTAGTTGAAAGTGTTCGTTTTCTACCATTAGTATTATCGAAACGTAAAAAATATTTAATTCTTCGTCAACGAATTATACCAATGTCTATGTGATTATATGACTAATTTTATATACAATGAAATGTATTTAGTAAATGTTTTCAAACTTACACGAATACGTTGTGGTATATTAAGAATTGATTCGGAAGATTCATCTGTGTTTAAATTAGTATTAGTAACGATAACAGCATAATGATTTATTCGAGCCTGTTTAATATAATCAAGTTGTGAACCAGCTGCTAAATCTTCATTAATGATCAAGCTGACAAAAAGAATTTTATTAAATAAAACAAATGAAACAAAATACCTTCGTGACCATTGACCGGCTCGTACAACTCCTGAACCATGAATAATTATCATAAGATATTCGGCTGTGTCAAAATCTTCGCTGGCAAAAAAAAATCCAGTTGGCTCAGATTTTTTTGCATCGAGCTTATAGAAAATAGACGAATAAAATCAACGATTAAATTTTAATAAATTCTTTTTTTCTTTATATATTTATCAAAATAATTCGAAATTTTTTTAAAATACAAATCTACGTACAGGTATTTTTATACGTTGCAAACCACATTCTTTCTCTTCTAACAGATCATATATATAGTTAGTAACTAATCGTCCAATGGCATTGTATCGTACACGATTATCATCATTATTTGAATGTACATGAAATTCAAATGGTTTACCATCAATAATTGAAACAAGTTTACCATCTATTCAATAAACATACAATTGTGAAAAACAATATCATACAAACTAGTAATTCATGTCTTAATTTTCTCTTTTTATTTTATTATCTGATGATAATATCTGTAAACTATCTGATTAATTTCAAATATCAACAAATGATTCTTTACTCTCAAAATGGTATCCATATTCTTCTAATGAGTTTGGTTCTAAATGATTCTTTTGAATATCTTTTTGTTGACGTCGACGTAATCTTGCTGCATCTACTGATTCTAAATGAGAATAATTTCATACTATAAAGAAATCAATCTATATCTTGCTTCATACTTGATCGTTTAGGATGTTCTTTTGCATTACTCACTAAAAAGTTCACAAAATAAATCATTATACAGAACAGAACGGAAGAAAAAAAAGTAATCACACTTTCTTTTCGATCACAGCTTTTCGGTACTATTGAAAGACAAAAAATAAAATAACAACTAATCAAATTATTTTAAATGTTTTTAGAACATTACAGACCATCCCGTTGATTCTTATTTCCCATACTCATTTCGTTGTCTTATAATATTTCTAGAATAATAAATATACTAAAATGTAATTTTGTATATTTTCTTTCTTTATTGTTTATTATTTTTAAACTAACTAATAGAAAGAATGTATTTCTTTTTTTTTTTATTTACAATGTAATTGAATAAGAAAGAAAAGAAAAATCGCATCTATTCACTGCTTTGATGATAATAATAATAATAATAATAATAATAATGAGGAAAAAAAAAAAGAAAGCGTATTAAAATGTTATCGTTTAAATGTACATTGGAAAGAAAAATGACATGTCTATTTTGTATCACCAGCTAACATTTGATTTATTTGTGCTTCAAGTTCTTCAGCAGAAACGTTGTCAAGTTCGTCAGCTAATGCTTTATCCCATTCATTGTCATCTAAATCTTTAAAAATGAATATACTGGGGGTTTCAAAAGTCTGTCATGATAAAAAATTCAAAAACTAAAAACCAACTCTTACATAATTCAAACAATTTTCGTGAGTTTTCATTAATGCTTGTTAAAATTTTATTTAGCATACTTTAAATAAAATTTCTCCGTTAATAAATATTAAATAAAACAAAAGAATTTCACATAATGATTGCATTAAAGAGATACTTCAACATGTTCTGTTAAACTGATATTGTAACAGATTAGTTCTCTTTTTCGAAGATCTAGAGTAATTGTAGACGTTCATTATATTTATGAAATGCACTGAGCTAGAGTCTTGAATCGGATCAAATTAGTAAACTTAACAAGGTCTCTACTACTTATGATAATTTGAACGGCTCTCGTGTATAACAAATTCTGTGTGCGTGATTAACACACACATCGAATCAATAATGGATTAGTCGGGTTTAATAATCAGACCCAACGCAAGAAGTATAACCGAGCTATTTCGCAGTTTCATACGATAAGACTTCTACATATATCAAAAGTATCGTACATTAATTTTTCTACAAAACTTATCTTAATAGATGAATACAAACAAGTAGTCCGGTTTGATGTTACATATTCATTTGAGTTAGTGTCATATGAGTTTCACCTAGACCAATAAACAAAAGACAATAGCTGCCAAATGCCTATTAAAAATATAATTGAATTGATACAAAGAAATTTAATATAATGCTTTTCTTTTTGTTAAAACAATGAATATAAATAAATCAAATGAAACTACAAAAAAAAAACACACACACACAGCTCAAGCAAATAATTTGTATTGTATAAGATTTGCTTGAGTCTTTTATCATGACAGACTTTTAGAATATTGTAAATATATATAATAATTAAAACTTATATTTTACCTGAACTACCACCTCTAGTTTGATTTGTTTTATTTGAATTCGGTTTTGTTACAGTTAATTGTTCAATTTCACGTCGAATATCATCCATACTAACAGCTGATGCATCATAATCTTCACTAACAAATTCTTGATTTGCATCATGAGTTTTATCTTGTGAATCAGATGCTGTACGGTCTAAATCAAAATTTTTAAATATATAATTGAATATAAGATAGAATAAAAGTTAAACGATATGCAAAATTTTAAATAGAATTTTCAAGAATATTTTAATAACAAATATTACAATTCATCTAAATCTCATGAATGATTTATAAATAAAACTTTGTTCAAATAGTATCAGTCTGAAATATTTTTAACATTTCTTATTCGATCTGTACACTCTCACTTGTTTCGAGTTTTCTAGCGGAAATTATATCAGTTTTTCATATAGTTATAATAAAATATGAATTATCTTAATCAATCTTTTATTCTCTATTAATATAATTTGATTAAATATGTATGTTTTTTTTTTGCAACCGTGTAAACCTATCATTCGGTATAGTTATTACCACGAGTCTCTTTATCACTTTCAAATATTGTTCTTTGCAAGTTGATAATCTATACTAACGATGAAACATGTTCTACTGTTGAACGCCATTTGACTTCATATTATGACTACGAGTAGGTTCATGTTCGATAAAGAAAAGTTTAAAAGGATTCAGACTCATGATCGTTTTAATGAAATTTTTATTGAGATCAAGACATGTTCGAAAAGCTCAAAACAAAGAGTTTTGACCAGAGATTTTGTTGATGAGAAGATTTAATAGTCCTGAAAGTTTCAACGAATATATCCATCTCGAATTATTCAATTCCTAAGTAGACTTGATAACTGTATCCTTCTATGGTGAACAGCCGTTTTATTTTCGAAATTGAATATCTCAAGAAAGACATGTTCGTTAAAACTTTTAGGACTATAAAACCTACTTATAGACAAAATCTTCAATCAAAATTCTCTATTTTAGATTTATTGGAAACCTCTTGCTCTCAATAGAGATATCATTAAAACAGCCATAGGCCCAAATCCTCTTAAGCTTTTCTTAATTCCACCAAGACTTAATCATTGCCCAGCGTTCGACAGTTGAATTTTTTTCTCTTACAAAACATTTTTTTGACTTACTACGTGCGTCTGATACACCATGGGTATCATCAGTCGATGAAGTATTTGCTAGAAATAAATAAAAATAAAAAACAGATGTATATGAAATGGTAAGAAAAAACAAAATACATACCTTTTTCATGTGCTAAAGCCGATAATTGAGTAGATTGTTTGATTAAACTAACACGATAAAAATAATTACGCCAAAATGCTTCTTCATTAATTCTAAATATTAATAATTATTATTTTAATATTTAAAAAAAACAAAAAAAAGATAAATTTTACTGTTTTGGTACAAGATCAAAACGCATTTGTTTTAAATTTTCATCAACATCAAGTGTTGCTAATGCAACTGGATATAATGCAGTCATATCAAAATGAAAATTAGCACCTGGTGGTGGACTTCGAAGAAAATTACGTTTTTCCTAAAAATAAAAGATTAATCATTTTCAAAATATTTATAAAATTCAAACCTTGGAAAGTGCTAAAATTTGTTTTTTCATTTCCTCTTCTTCAACATAACCAACCCAAGGTGGGACAGCTGCTTCTTCACGACGTTGTTGTGTACGTTTTTCTGTTACAAATTTTTCATGTTCTTTTGAAAAATCACCAAGTAATGATGTTTCTTCAACAGCATGTTTTAATTGTTGTGCACCTTTTTTTACAGTTGAACTTAGATCATTAAAAATACCTAAAGAAATAACTTATTTATGTATTAATTCCAAACAATAATGCAAATATTTCTTTACAAAGACAAACATGTTTTTTTTTTTGTTTCGCCTTAGAGATTTTTTCAATTTAATACAAAAAGATAGATATCAATGTCGTCCTCTTTGAGACTTAAATATAGAACTTACGTGTATTTTTTTAGTCTTATTATACCTAAAACAAAATATGTTAAGTGAAAAATCTCTAGTAGACTCTAAGAATAATTGATCGTCAGAGAAACGATCTGTCGTATTTATTTCTGAACTTTGAAGAAGAAATTTTTTTTTTTTTTTTTTTATGTGTGACTTGTTGCTATTCGATCATCAGTTTTGTTCATAATTGTATTCCATGTTGCGTAATTTTAACATTATTATGATTATTATTCTAAATATTGATTTAACTTTCAAATAAACCTATTGTACATACCCAACGAGTCTCAATGGATTATTAGATATTTCAATAAGCTCAGAAACATACTGATATTGATTATTTGCAAAAGTCATAACTTGATAAGTTCATGCTTTTCATGTTTATGATATGATGACTGTAATAAATCAATGCATCACTGTTCATCATCATTGACATCTTGAATATAAATTTTTATTGGCATACAAACCAAAAACTGTACTATTTAGAATATTTACAAATATATTCCAAGGGATTAAAATTTTTGAGGAAAAACTTTGGAGTATTCTAGAATAGTTTTAAGTCTTGTTGTTAAGAAACTCTACGAAAAGAATCTGATATCTGCGATCCTTGGTTACTATGGAAACATACCTAATGATCATTGGCTTCCCTTCTCTGTCTGTTGCTGTGAGACGGGGAGAGTCACAAAACTTCGACTTAAAACTTACTTTTTCATCGACACATATAATGTGAGTTCCACAAAAAGCAAAGAAAATCTTTTGTTATGTATTACTGAGAATAATATATCGAGTGGAATGAATAATTTTGAATAATAGTCACATACTAGTCAGATCTTTATTGATTCCAGCTATGCCTGTAGATTCTTCAGAAGTTTGTTCTTCATCTTCATCTTTTTTTGTTACATCCGTTTGTTGATTTTCAATTGGTGATAAAGGTCGTTGTGGTAATGTTTTATGAACAAGTGTATTAGCAACTTCACCTACTTTTGAAGTCACTTGCATAATTGATGAACTTAAATTTGTTAATTGATTTGTTAAATTTGATGGTAAACCAAAATTATTAAACCATGATGATGATGATGAATGTTGTTCCTCAACTACTGGAGCCTGATTCGTAGTATTATCGCCAGTTGTTGTTGATGATGATGCAAGTGGTGGATTTTCTGTTTCAGTTGAAACAGTAGATGGTAATTCTACGATTGGTTTTTCTTGTTCAGTATTTGTATTCATGATTTATCTAAAATAATTCAATAATAAAGTATGATCATGGTTTCTTTTTCTTTTAAACTATGTTGCAGAACTATGCGGTTTTTTTTTCTTTTTCTACTAAATGAGATGAATACAAACAAAATTGTTTTAAATGAAACATAAAGACAAAAATATGATTTGTTCTAAAAATGTCCTTGGTTTTATTTTGAGATTTCTTTAAATGTAAAATTATCGCATCCACGTATTTTAAAATTTGCTGGTGGACTTGTATAAACATTAGAATATAATTCGTCAACATGTAATTCAGGATCATTTTGAGCATGATTTTCAGCATCTTCAATTATCTTTTTTACTTCATTATCAATTTCCTATGACAATAAAAAAAAAAAAAAAAACGAACATCAATTTATTAAAAATATTACTTTTGAATATAATGAAACATACTTTAAATTCTTCTTCGGTTGCTACTTTAGCACTAACCAATTTTTCTCGAAATGATGTTATTGGATCACGACTTTTACGTACATCTTGAATTTCTTCACGAGTTCGATAACTAAAATTAAAGTTTAATTTTCAATAGCAAATAGATTCATAAAAACAAAACGAAATGAAATTTATGTCAACAAAAAAAATCCACTAAATCTAACGTAGGGATGTAACGGTGACCTACAATAACCGTAGGTAAAGTTATCAGCTTGGATCAATGAAACAATGATGATACACCAGTGAATGATCGTCACCGTTGTATGCTTAATCTGACGATCGAACTATCAATCATTGTGTACAATATACTTCTATTGGGCTTTTTTTTTTGCATATATGAATTTCTTATCATACCTAGTTCCTGGATCGGACATTGAATGACCAAAATAACGATATGTAGCCATTTCCATAATAAATGGACCTTTTCCTGACACACACCAATCACGAACAAATCTTGTTGCTTCACGTACAGCAAGAACATCCATACCATCAACCCATATACCAGGAATATATTCGCATCGTTTATAAAAATTTGGATTAGCACTAGCACGTGCTGAACTTGTACCCATACCATAACCATTATTTTCACATACAAATATACATGGTAATAACCATAATTTAGCCATATTAAATGCTTCAAAAACTTGTCCTTGATTAGCAGCTCCATCACCATATAATGCTACACATACATTCTGTTCTCCACGATATTTATGTGCAAAAGCTACCTGTACAAATAAAAGAATAAATTCGTTTTGTTTTTTTTTAATCTCTTTGTTTTGTAGTTTTAAAATATTAAATAACATACTCCAGCACCAAGTGGTACTTGAGCTCCGACAATACCATTTCCACCGTAAAAATTTGGTGCATACATATGCATACTACCACCACGTCCTTCAGCACAACCAGTTTTTCTACCTGTTAATTCAGCTAATACACCAGTGACTGATACACCCATCATATAAGTCCAACCATGTGCACGATAAGCAGTTATAACTGAATCATTTTTATCCATAGCCGCTTTCATTCCAATACAAACGGCTTCCTATTAGTAAAGATAAACATTTGATGAATATATTTAATGATATAATAGAAATAAAGCTAACTTGTCCAGAATACAAATGACAAAAACCTCGTATTAATTTTGCTTTATACATATTATTAGCTGATGCTTCCATTCGACGTACAATTTGCATTTTTCTATAATAGTCTAGACCTTCTTCACGAGTACAGGATACATGAGTACTTGGTCCTTTGTCAAGCATATGAAATTTATAAGCATTAGGTGCATCATATTCGAGTATTGAACCAGTACTTGCTTCTCTTATAGAAGTTGTCAGCTAATAACAAACAAAAACAAAAATAATTCGTAAAATTTTGACGAAGTATTATTTTTTACTAAAGGTATAGATGAATTAATTTTTTGTTGTTGTTGTACGAGAAGGCGTCGACCATTTGATTGTAATCGAAAAATAAGTTTTGTATAAATATTCATTATAAGTAATACTCGTGATATAATGTTTTGTTCACCTGTATAATATGACAAAAACAACAATTTTTCTCTCGCATTTGATTGATCAATGTATCAACGAATGATAAGCAAGCAGAAAAAAAATTGATTTTATTTTTTTTCTTAGTTTATTTTCTTATTATTTCATTTCATTTAAATAATAAATAAAAATCAATTAATTCATTAATTTAAAAAAATTAACAAACAAATTGAAAAACTAAATAAATAAATAAACAACAAAATAACGTCATAATATTTTATTTTATTATTCCTTCTATCTATTAATATAGAAGTCATGGTAAATACACAATTGTATTTTATTTTTTTGACAGGTATTAAATTTTTCATAAAAATATCTTTCGTTAAATTCTTTAATTTAGTATTGAACATCTTTGTTTCATCAAATGCTAAATATGTGAGATCACCTGGAAATGATGTTTCTCTTACAGCAGCTTTAAAACATTCATTAGAATTAAAATGTATATATCAGGGCCTTAATGATGGTGGAGGATTTACTGAATGGTATAAAGATGGTGTACCTGTAAGTAGTGAAAAACCAGGACATTATGCTGTTCATAATAGTGACACAGAATCAAAACTTACTATAAAAGTTTTTGGTAAATATATAATAAAAAAAAAAGAAAATTTTGAAGCTGACAGAAAAAAAAACTAAAATTTGCTTTGTTTTTTATATTAAAGTTAAAGCAGATGCTGACGTTAAAATATGGTCTGTTAAAACAACAAAATCTGGTTTTGAAGAACCCCTAGCATGTCAATTTGGTCCAATACCAAGTAAATTTAATATCATTATTTAATTGTAATTAAATGAAGAAAAAAAAATCATTTTTAATCCTTTCTTGTTAGTTAGACCAGCACCACAATATATGGAAACAGGTCTATCTTATGAACAATTAGACGCTTCCCATGAATCTGTAAGACGCGTTCAAGGTGATCGACTTAGTCTTAGATGTGTTGTTGAACCAAGTCTAACAGAAGAAGAAAGCCTCAAGAATATAAAATGGGAATATAGTCCAGATGATCGTGAGTATAGTAAATTACATGATGGTGCTGCAATTCCAAGTGGAGATCAATTAGTAATTGATACAGTTGATAAAACTCATCGAGGATATTATCGTTGTTCAGTTGATAATGTTTCATTTACAGTTTTATTACGTGTTAAAGGTTTATTTAATTAATTAATTAATTCTTTTTTTTTTTTGAAAAGTTTTTCCTTTTGTTTTTGTTTTGTATTTTATCAGATCGATTAGCAGCACTTTGGCCATTTCTTGGTATTGTTGGTGTTGTTCTTGTATTAGTTATTATTATATTAATCTTTGAAAAACGTGAAAGATCAACAAGAAAAGCAACTATAATAGATGATGATGAAAATGATCATGCAAATGATCCGTAAGAAATAAAAATTATCTTTTCTTTTTATTTTTTAAACAATTAAATTTCTTCTTCTAGTCTTGTCCGGTTATCAAATAAACCATCAGATGGTGAAAATAAAAAACGTGCTGTAAAAGTCTAACATATGATACAGAGAGAATAGTTTTTCTTCAGTTTTTTTTTTTGCATTTTGTTTTTCAAACTTTTTCTACATTCTTATCCTGTGTTTCTCACCTAAATTTTTTTTTCATTGGATATAGAAAAAACAATTTTTTTTTCCCTTGATTTGTATCTATTCTCGAACAGTTTATTTTTCTCATAAATATGTCGATATCGTCTTTAATATTTATATCATCATCGTAGTTTGTATACGTAATAAACATTGAGTAATTATTAAGAGAAGACTTTCTAAAAATTTAATTATAGAAAAAAATATATTAGGTGATGGACTACAATCCCAACAATTGCACACACATTTTTTTTTCTTATCTTTTTCATGTATGCAGTTTGTTTATTTTTACATGTGTGTGCCTGGTATTTTGTTTTTCTTCTTCTTCTTTTGTATTATTATAATAGAAAAATTAGAACTATCAGTTTTATAAATGAAATATTTAGATGAGAAAAGTTTCATCAAAATCAGCTATCAAATAAAAATAGTGAAGATAATTTTTAGGATACCTCGCAGTTATTTACGATCATCAATAGTAATAGTATTGTGTGTTAGAACTCTTCAAACTATATATAGATTCAAAAATCAATTGTACTAACAAGAATGTTCGACCTATCATCGAATAATAGTGAAATCAAATATTTGTTTCGATAATAGAACCGTCCGTTATTAATCAACTGAATAAGAAAATGTCATCGAAAATATAATAGAAAAACAAATAGTAAAGTCACATTAACCCGTTAACAGTTGTTGACGTATATATATATATATATATATGTATGTCAAAGCAATATTCATGGAAAGGTAAAGCTTACAATTTCTTAAACGTGCTATATTCGTGGCGCTCTGTATCAATTCTATCATCATCTACTGACTGTGACTCTCTGTCTCTAACCGTTCTGATATTTCACATCGTTTATCGTACTTTTTGTTAAGAGTAGCTTTGTTTTATGTTCAACATAGCTTGTTCTTTCTGAACATTGTTCTTGAATCGACAGTTAGTTGTCAATTTCTTGTGCTGTTTTCGTTTTCTGTATTATTTTCTTGCTAGATAAAAGTGACAGACATAAGCATATAGTGAACTATACATATATAAAAAAAACAATAAAGGTCTTTTGAAAAATTCTAGATGCAAAGATTCTTCTCAATTTTTTAGACAAGACTTTCATTTTCGAACTCATTATTATAATCATGAATTGTTTTCAATTTGTTAAATTGTAATATTATTACTATGTAATGGATAGGAAATTATTCAATGTATTTTTCGAGAAAATTTTTATGTTACTCTTCAATGATTTAAATTTTTAAAAACTTACTATTTAGTTACACATGAAAAATATTAACAATTAAGGAGTTAAAGACTAATACTTTAAACGAATAAAGAAAAAAACCACGAGATCATCAATGGATTTCTAGGACATGAAAGAGAAAAGAATTAAATCGATGCATTAGCACTAGGAATGTGTAGTGTTGGTGTAAATAATGAATTGCAAGTCACCGACACAGAATCTACTGGGACACGGATTACACTGACATCTGCGTTTACTATAACATTGAAACTGTACATTTCTCTTAAATTAAAGAAATCTCAATAATGTAAAAAAGGTTGATCATCATCACTGTGGACTCCTGATATATTCCTCATCTTCATCGTGAAGCGTGAAAGTTCAACCCTAGTTTGTATTAGTTGGAATTCAACATACTAAGTGTTGTTTGATAATTTTCTCTAATAAGCTTCTATTTCTATGAGTTCTATTTAAATTGTATATGAATATTTTATCAATTATCATATTTATTATTTAACAGAAAAAACAACATGTGCATAAGATAACAGTTATTGCTATACATAATAATATGAGAAAAAAAAATTAAGTCACACAAAATAGAATAAATCGTAGAAACAGAGAGAAAACCATAGTACTAATGCTGTTCAAACGGTTTTTTTTGGATGGTTAGGATCTTTTCATTTGTCCAATAGTTTATAACAAATTTCATTTATAATTTGATATATATTGAATAAAATACAATGGAATCATTTTGATCAGATAACATTCCTATCGATTACTTTCATCTTATAGATCAAATAGCTTTTCATATAAGTAGATTATCTACTCGAAACACACCATATATTAATCATAAACGCCAACTAATTGTCATTCATTCTATATTAATCAGTTTGGTGTTTAAAAGATATGTTCGCCTTTTAAACAATTTGATTCTTTGCTTTTGTTTTTTTTGTGAAAATCGAAGTTTTTATATATGAGCTTCATATATTTTTCGAAGGAAATTGCAATAATGTGTCAAAAACACATCAGTAGTTCATTTTTATATGACAATCATCAAAGCATTTAATAATAGATAGAGCTACATTGCAGTCAGAACATATATTATGTGTGTCACGTCGAATATTATGAAATATGCAAACCACGCATTTCCTATGAGACTGTTTTGATTATTCAATCAAACGTCTTCCTCGTGAAACAGCCATTATGAAAATGATACAAAGCGTTTCCAAATAGTTAAAGAATATGCTAGTGACACCTTTGTTTAATTACTGCATTCAGATGCATTTCTAAGTCGTCGGAATCAAAGAGTGTTAAATAAAATGATATTTTCCTTTTTATTAACTTTAAGTTTTTTTTTCTGTTTGCTTTACATTTAAAAAATTGTCAACAATACTAAATTATTTCATAGAAGAGAACACATAGTTAGATAGAAACTTTTAGTTTGAAATAAAAGATTTGTTCAACACTCGATTTCTATTGATCAAACTAATTAATTAAAAAAATTAATTTCGATTAAATCGAACTAACTTGAAAGTAAATAAAAATTTATAGGAAAAATTTTATTTACTTCTGAAGTAAGAAAATATTAATTCAAAATGTACTTTGATACTATACTGAAATGTACAGAATCATCAATTGATTTTTTTTTTTTTTGAATTTTAATACTTTGAATTATAAAATGTTGTCTTAGTTTTCTAATAAAAGAAATTTTCGAAAGAAAATAAAATAAAGAGTTCTTTTAATACAATTGAAATCTATTCTTCAAATAGTGAATATCGAATGTTTGAAATTTATTATCACTAAGCTAACAGTTTTATATCGAAATGCTAAAGAAATTTTATTATGTCGAGTTTTATTTTTGAATGAAATACAATAAAATTCACTGTGCTTTACAAATAAATATAAGACGTACAAGTTTAACAAAAGGAACCTAGATAAAAAAATACGAGCTGTTTTCAGTCGAAAAATTCAAGAAAATGGTAAGAACTTGAAAGCAAGAATCCGGTAATCGGATCCAGTGGCCGACACCCACACCCACCCCCCGCCATAACCATTAACATGGGAAGAATATTTATTAGTATATAAATTTTCTTTCAAAGAAAATTGTTATGTTTGTTTGATTGGAAATATTTCAAAGAATTAAACAATCATTCCTTCGCTGTGAAATCGCACAAAATCATTCATTCAATGTACTTTTTAATAGTGATCATCCGTCTTACTTCTGATAGTTGTTATTACTAAGTTTTTATTTTATTCATCAAATTAAGAAAAAGACAAAAATTAATTTTATTTTCATCGAAAAACTTTGAATTCTACTTTTCAATTCTAATCACAGATCAAAGTTGAAATGATGATAAGTGACAATAAATAATAGCTGCTTTCCGAGAAATATCTCCGTATTTATTTCAATACATTTTTCTTTGTGTACTTCACCTATATAATCATAGCGCATGGAGATTTCTGAATGTACAGGAGGAAAGGACTTCAATTGGATTGTTAATTGTTGATGATGACGTCTCATGGCAAAACTATATTAATTGAGATTATTATAAATATTGCTATGAGATACACACATAAAAGGATTCTCTGAAGTAGACACAGACAGTTACATTATCAGTTGTTGGGTGACGGGGTAGTGCAAAATTCCCGAAATTAAGGTAACTTAACTGAGAAATGAAGTATACAATTTCGAGAAACTGATCACAGATTCGGATTCTTTGACCTCAAGAACCTTCAGTCAAACTTTATAAAAAAATCGCTGCTTTCGCAAAATAGCCTTTTCTAGACGAACGAATCAAATTTTCAGGAATTTTGCATTACTTGGTAACTGGTAAAGTAATTGCCTGTGTAAAGGTAACTTCCCACTCGTAAACAATTTTAAGTCAAGCATTGAAATTGAATTTGATGTATCGCTACTCCTTAAGTATATATTTTTTTTTAACGAAAATTCAACTCATCCGAGTATTTCTTTTGATCAAAGTAGATCTTAACAATATTATTATAGAAACAAGTCATATTGTCACGAAGTAAATAAGATTTACCTTACTGTATCCTTCTCTCACGGCGCATTTTCTTTCTTTTCCCTTTCTTTCTTCTCTTTCATGTCATGTGAATTTTCCTTTTCTATCTTCTCTTTCATGTCATGTGAATTTTCCTTTTCTATCTTCTCCTTCATGACATATGGACACTTCCTTTCTTCTATTATTGTCACCTGAATTTTTTTCTTTCTCTCTCATGACGCTTGTTAGATTTTTCCTATCTTGTTTATCGTCATAAACATATTCATCACGTCCATCCTCCTGTATATAGAGTGTAATTTCGCAATAAACGACATTCGATCAGGCATGCATCTTTAGTCACCTAAAATATTCACATTCTTTCACACATGTCTTCATGGTTTTTATTGTTTGTTTAATTGAAAAGTTTGATTACTTTGTTATATCACTCTAGTACATGATTAATATCACTTTGTTTACGACGAATACTGCTAATCAAATTGTATACTTTACAAATTTGAAAATTAAAATTATAAATACTTTTGTTGTTAGTTACCAAATCAAATGATCAATACAAATTGAACATTGAAGGATTATTTCATGGATTGGAGATTAAACTGCCTTATGATCATTTCCATAGTGTTTACTACATGGAGTCGAAGACTTTTTTTAAAAATCATATGCATCATCA